AACAAAAGGGCACTTTGGGCACCTATCAGGAAAGGGGCGGGTGCTCAAGCCCCTCTAGCCCCCCCCCTCTGCACGTGCCTGTGCTGCAGCGATTGTGAAGTGGAGACTGCAGCTGCTGAGAGTGCACTACTGCTGAACCTTTGGATGGCCGACAAAACGGATCTTCCGATGTTTTCAGCTAAATCGCTGGACGTGCTTTCTCATGGTCCGCGCCGGGTTATGGCTGAATTCCAGTGGAATGACGGTCCCGCCGTAATAGACGTTCCAGCCCTAAACCAAACTTATCCCTAACCATAACTAGCTGTTAAATGACGGAAAATAGTGTTTTCCAAAGCGATTTTCAGAAAATGAACGAACATATGTAGATTGAGTCCAAACGGTTCTCATGTGCTCTCCTTTTTCCGATGCCGTCATTTAGGAATGTGTTGGGTACCAGAAAGCATATAATGTTGACGATTTGTCACCTAGCGTAAAATATTAGGCTTAGGGAGTGAGAACGTGTCTGACCACACACTTTTGCACCGGAGGTTTTCGGAAAGCTTTTATTTTGGTATTTCCGTTGATCCATACAATACAATAAATTTGCATGTTAGCCTACACATTTAGATTTAACATTTAGCATTTAGATTTAATATTTAACATTTAAAATTGTGTTTTAAATATAAAAAGTTACAAATATTTTACTAAATGTTGTAAAACAGGACTCGTTTTGAGCTAAATGTGGAAAAATGTTGCCGTTAATTTCAGCATGTTTTACTTTACAAACAGCACTTTCCTACAGCACTACAGATTGGTTCCAGACAATCAAGTACCTCTCTCCAAAGGGGTCATAGGTCAGACAGGTCAAATAAAACCTCAGTAGAGAAGATACTACAAACACAACAGCATTTAGCCAGAGTAACGGTTACTAATTTTCCCACTTGAAGAGCTTTTCGTTCATCACAGTAACATTCGCTGTCGAGAGAGCAGCAGCTGTTCAAATGATTCAGAACATGTACGCATGCGTGTCGAAGCTCACGTGGCTCTGCGATGGGAAAATACAAACTGCAGATTTTCAATTATAGATAATAATGTTGATAGATGTTCATTTAAAATATGACCTATGACTTCCAGACAAAGACACTGATTACTGTACGGTAGCAGTCTGCTCAGTCAGCACCGGGTAGCATGCGCACGACTCTTAAGACCTCCTTATAACTATGTTTAGAGCAGGAAACTTGATAGGGCTCTGTAAAGGTCGCGGACTATATCAAACCTTCTCAGCTTTGGCGAGGAAAATCCACAGCTTCCTCCAGGTGGTGAACTTCTTTTTGTCGCTGAAGTTGTAGCTCATTTCTTTGCTGGCGTATCTGGACACCAGAGGTGAGCGATACTTATTCATCTCCTCTGCTCCGGCCATGGTTGCTAGAAAACTGAACACTGCGGGGTAGCGACAGGGTCTTCAGCTTCTTTCCCCCGCCCCGCTCTTTTTCTTCTTCCTCTGGGGTCTTTATAGCAGTTGAACCAACTTACAGTTGCATTACTGGCCCCTAGTGGACTGCGAAAGTAACACCTACCTTATTTCGTGTAATTTGAATCCATTTTTGCCAAGAAGTCAGCCTTTGATCTCGTAGACTTTTCTATGTGAAACGGCTCTGCTTCTTCTTTGTGGCCTCAGCACCAAGCTGTGGCATCCCTAGTGGCACTCTCACAGCTGTTTAAGGTGAGTCCATGAAATGATGCCACAAGATGCTGTGGCATCTGAGGGTGATGCCACAGCTCCAGAAAGATATTCTGGCACAGTTATGAGAGCTTGGTCCACATTGCCAGCAAAAAGTCAAACTCGTTGAATCACCTGGTAATTATATTCACATTATTTATTCACTTTGTCCTTTTGAATTTTCTAGCTTATTACAGATTGTAGTTGAGCCTGTGGCTCTTTCACTTGTTGCTCCTGTATTTTCCTCAATGCTCAGTGTGTCAGATCTTTCGCTACTTCTCTGCCTCGTTAGGTAATAATGATACTTGTAAGGCATATTGCATATTTGCAGCTCTGGAGGTCAGGCTCACTAAATTGGAGACCCAGGTCCGCACCCTGGAAAATCCTTTCCGCACCCCTGCAGGCAAGGACAGCTTTGCTACCATTACCACTGACCCAAGCATATAAGAATGATGAAAAATCTGTGCTTATCAGTTGCATTTATCTAATATTAAATAACTCACAAAAAATGCAATTTCATCTATTTTATTTGTCAAATTTTCAGTGTATTGTTGTATAGGGTATACACGGGGTTCCTTTTTTTTTTCTTATTATTATTTTTAATAAAATGCAACTCTGGAACTGCCGAGTGTCCCCAAAAGAAACAGATAAATCAAGACTATTTCAACAAAAATTTCAGCTTTATCATATGTGGATCTACAGCTTCCTTCAATTTGTGAATTTCTTCCTGCTGGCCTATTGTAGTGTCTTGAGCTTTTTTTAAATACCTATAATATTCAAGAAAATTTTGAAACAACTGCCTTCTGTTGTTTTAATTTTGGAAAATAAAATTTGTTCTTTGTTGTTTGAAAAACTATTTATATTCAGTTTTCAATTCAATTCAATTTTATTTAAATAGCGCCAAATCACAACAACAGTCACCTCAAGGTGCTTTATAGATACAGAGAAAAACCCAACAATCATATGACCCCCTATGAGCAAGCACTTTGGCGACAGTGGGAAGGAAAAACTCCCTTTTAACAGGAAGAAACGTGCAGCAGAACCAGGCTCAGGGAGGGGCGGCCATCCTCTGCGACCGGTTGGGGTGAGAGAAGGAAGACAGGATGAAGACATGCTGTGGAAGAGAAAAAGATTAACCCTCTCGAGGCAGGCGTTGCTGATTTGCAACAGTTAAAAACTAACAACCTGATTACCCCACATACATATTTTATGAGTTTTTTTTACTCAGAAGTACCACTACAGGACTTGGTTGTGCATTAGCAACAAAAAGTTTCCCACTTGCTCACCAGATGGCAGTGTTATCCCACTTCCAACACGTCTGCTTCCTTGGGTTCACTGACACTGATTTTCTTGGCGTCAATTTCATGTAAGTATCACTATCAACCTCCATTAATTTGAAACCAAAACTGCATCAGAAGAATCATGAGTGTATATAGATACAGTAAATGCCAATTAGTGGATTTTATCTCTTCTGGATTTTTCCCCTGGGGCAGCTTTATTTCAACGTAGCAGATTTGCAATGTGTGGCCAGATAGGTACCACTGGATGCCACATGCTTTATCTAATAGTTTGCCTATATTTTGAGCAACAGTTCATACTAGGGTTATTTTCATATCACCAATGTTTACATATTACTTTGAGGTGTCACTGAGGGTATATCCTTTGGAAAATTAAATAATTTAGAGTGAAGTTACAAACAATCGGAGGCAGATTTGATCAAAAACAATGGCACAATACGATGTTCATTTTACTGTGCAGTAATGAAAACTGATGTAGCCTAATTCCATGGCACATATATTACTACAGATCAATGTGTTAAGGCATTTTTTGGCAAACTATCTTACAGAATACTCTATTTGCAGGATTTGCAGTGTGTTATGGCAGGCAGACGAAAATTTTACTCAGTGAGGGAAGCCATTGAGTTGATTTGCCTTCCTGATGGGGCTTTATCTGACACAGAATCCATTTCAGATGATAAAATTGCTGATCCAGATTTTGAGGATACTCCTGAAGCATACGAGTCTGACTCCAGCCTTGATGATGATGATGAGCCACTGGCAGCAATAGCAAAAGCTAATCCCAACCACCTTGATGTTGAAATTCATAACGTACATGCAGACAGTGACACTGAGGTCCCAGATGACAATGCACCTCAGCAAGGCCCAGCTCCTGTCAACAAGGAGCAGAACCAGGCAGAGGAAACCCCCAGCAGCTGACATAGACTCTTCATTCCGAAGACCTGCATTCTCACCTCCACCAGACGAAATACCAAGTCCAAAGTGATCAGTTCATGGACAAATCCGTGTTTGAACATATTTCTCACCAATCTAACCTGTATGCAGCTATGAAGAATGGCCCAGAACTGAAAACAACCCCATCTGAAATAGAGCAATTCATTGGTTTACACATCTTGATGACCGTAGTGCGTATGCCATCGTACTGCATGTACTGGCAGACGGCAACACGCTACGACCCAATTGCGACAGTCATGGGACGGAAGCGATTTGATAATCTGCGTACATACATCCACATGAACGATAATACCAATGTGAAGCAAAAGGGTGAGCCCGGATACGATCCATTGTTCAAGGTATGACCAGTACTCGAGAAAGTCTGTGCCAACTGTTTGAAGGTTGAACCAGAAGAGAACCACTCCATTGATGAGCTGATGATCCCCTTCAAAGGAAAGATTGGAATGAAACAGTATATCAAGAAAAAGCCGCAAAAATGGGGAATCAAGGTCTTTACTCGTGCAGGTGTCACTGGACTAGTCTATGACTTTGAAGTATACACTGGAAAAGGGACTGTGACCAATGAGCGTGGACTTGGTGTTGCCGGAGAAGTTGTGCTTCGTCTCGTGTCAGAAGTTCCAAAAGGTCTAAACTACAAGTGCTTCTTCGACAACTGGTTCACTTCCCCTGAACTCGTTGTGGAACTGAAGAAAATGGGAATTCTAACAGCTTCTACCATCAATCGTAACCGTCTCCGTGGATTGTACCCTCAAAAGTGACAAGGAACTCTCAAAGGATGGGCGTGGTGCGTGTGAAGTGAAATATGAAAAGACAAGTGGGAAGTCCATCGTGAAGTGGTATGATAACAAGGCAGTTTTACTGGCATCATCCTTCATTGGCCCTGAACCTGTTGAGAGATGCAGAAGGTGGTTGAAAGAGAAGAAGGAATATGTGGAAGTGGACAGACCCCACATTGTCAAGGTGTACAACCACAATATGGGAGGAGTAGACTTAGCAGACATGTTTGCAGCTCTCTATCACATTGACATCCGCCCAAGTTGTTGCTACCTGCGCATCTTGTACTACTTGTACAATGGCTGGCTCCTCTATCGCCGTCATCTCACCCATAATTCCAAGATGGCGCCGCGTATGGATGCCCTGGTGCTTCAGTGCGTCACTTTTGTTTTATTTTTGTGCATTTCTTCTGTGTCTGGGCACTCCTCTGGATACTCTTACACCAGAGAAGAGCTCCTTAACTGCAGGACTACAACGCCTGTGGATTTATTTCCAATATTTGTCGCATCTGCGG